CAGCTTGTGCCATTCTTGTCCCTACCAATGCTTCAAACCCCCAAAGTGCAATATTTGTGCATTATGGAAATCTGGGAAAATGCAATGAAAGGGCTAAAATAAATTTAGGAATAAATTCTAAATTTCAATAAATTTTAATAATGGTTTTTTAGAAAACTAAACATGGGGTTGGCGTTGTGGTGAAGTGAACCAGCAGATGGAAGATTTCTTTCTTTCTAACTCTGCCTTTCAGATAAATAAATAAATCTTTTTATAAAGATTTATTTTATTTATTTGAAAGAGTTACAGAGAGAGGTAGAGACAAAGAAAGAGAGAGGTCTTCCATCCTCTGGTTCACTCCCCAGATGGCCACAATGGCCAAAGCTGCACCGATCCAAAGCCAGAAGCCCGGAGCTTCTTCCGGGTCTCTGTGGTCACACGTGGGTGCAGGGGCCCAAGCACTTGGGCCATCTTCTACTGTTTTCCCAGGCCATAGCAAAGAGCTGGATTGGAAGAGGAGCAGCCAGGACTAGAACCAGCGCCCATATGGGATGCTGGAGCTTCAGGCCAGGGCTTTAACCCACTGCACCACAGCACCGGCCCCCAAATAAATCTTTTTGTAAAAGAAAAAAAAGTAGGGGCTGGTGCTGTGGCATGGTGGGTGGGGCCGCCGCCTGCAGTGCCGACATCCCATGTGGGCACCAGTTTGATTCTCAGCTGCTCCACTTCAGATCCAGCTCTCTGCTATGGCCTGGGAAGGCAGTGGAGGATGGCCCAAGTCCTTGCGCCCCTGCACCTGCGTGGGAGACCCGGAGGAGGCTTCTGGCTCCTGGCTTCAGATCTGCGTGGCTCCTGCCATTTCAACTAATTGGGGAATTAACCGGCAGATGGAAGACCTCTCTCTCTCTCTCTGCCTCTCCTCTCTCTGTGTAACTCTCACTTTTAAATAAATAAATAAATCTTTAAAAAAAAAAAAGAAAGAAAAAGAAAAGTAAACACATTTAGTGTTTGACACAGGATTGCATTTCTGGTCATTTGTTCATGAAATGACCATAAAGACCATATATCTGAAATGTACACCTCAGTTGACGTAAACTATAAATACTCCACTTAGGTCAATATACAGGGCAAATCCAGCATCTTCTTAGATAATGCCTTCCATCTGAGTATCACCATGGAATAGGTCTGTTTTGGGATTTCACATACGTGGAAACAAGCTTCATTTGCTCAATATCACATCTGTAAGTGCTCTCTATCTTATGTATAGCAATAGTTCAGTCTTTTTGATTTGCTGTGTAACGTTCTGTTATATGGATATACCACAATTTATTTATTTTCTGGTTCATTCCCCAAATGGCCACAACTGTGCTGTTGGAGGCCAAAGTCAGGAGCCTAGAACATCTGGGGCTCCCACGTGGATGGAAAGAGCCCAAGTGCTTGGGCCATCTTCCACTTCCTTCCCAGGCACAATAGCAGGGAGCTGGATTGGAAACAGAACAGCTGGAACTCAAACTGGCACTCAGATACAGGATGCTGGTGTTGCAGGCTGTAGCTTAGCTTATTGTACCACAATGCCAGCCCCTTTATTGCATTTCAAGTCTCATCTTTGATTGCTTTGGCAGGACCAGACCAAATAATTTCCCAAGCACATGCTGCAGGCAGAGGATTAGCCAAGTGAGCCACAGCACTGGCCCCCATGGTATATTTTCATTACAGACTTGGCTTAGCCTTAGTGTGGCCATGAAACTAGGCCTCAGTAGCAAGTAGAATAGAGGTTTGCAAAAATTCTAACAGAGATCAACTGCTAAGCTTGCTTTGCAAACCATGTACCACTTGTTATCTTTGTAACTTTGAGCTTTATGGAATCTGTAACTACCTGATGGCTGTTATGCAGCACTCTCAGGTCTCAGTTCCTGGAGCCTTGATGGTACCACTGAGTAACACCTCCTCCCCTGTCCTTTCTGCCCAGCAATATCCACCCCATTGTCCCCTCCTCATCCTGCCCCAGGCCCTGTGTAGGGTTTAAATTGTACCTCCCAAGTTTCTCAACCAATTCGAAGCTGGGGGAAGGGACCTCTGCATGGCACAGATAAAAGGAGCTGAATTTCTGAGTGGTATCTGCTTCTACCAGCTGATCACCTCTCTCAAGACTGAATATCAGGGCCGGTGCTGCGGCGCAGTGGGTAAAGCCGCTGCCTGCAGAACCGTCTTCTCATATGGGCACCAGTTCTAGTCCCGGCTGCTCCACTTCCAATCCAGCTCTCTGCTATGGCCTGGGAAAGCAACCTGAGTGCTTGGGCCCCTGCCCCCACGTGGGAGACCCGGAAGAAGCTCCTGGCTCCTGGCTTCAGATCAGCACAGCTCTGGCTGTTGCAGCTATCTGAGGAGGGAACCAACAGATGGAAGACCTCTCTCTCTCTGTCTCTACCTCTCTCTAACTCTACCTTTCAAATAAATAAATAAATCTTAAAAAAAAAAGACTCAGTCTCCATAAATCTGTCATTTTCTGCTTCCTTCAGTGATTCTGCATATATCTTTTGCTGGGTAGGTGGTCTCAGGTGGGCTTATTTCCTACATAAGTATACTGTATTTTTAAAAAAGCACATAAAGCTCTTAAGAGCATTTTTAAAACTAGTTATTATTGGTTACTTCTGAACTGATGTGTATCATATTACACATATTTCTTTTTCCTAAATTACCTGCAATAAACAGTATTTTCCAAGATAATTTTGCTTAAAAAAAAAAAAAAAGACATCCTTTCTCGGTGTTGCTGACCTCCCCACAGGAACACGCCTCTCACCAAGGATCTCCTCCATCTTTCTCCAGAATTGGAGAAGCGGCAAACGGTGCAGAGCCCCAGGTCCTGCTTCATGGATGTGAAGTATCCAGGAAGCTATAAAATCACCAGTCTTTAGCTGTGCACCAACGGTAGCTTTGTGTGTTGGCTGCTCCACTGTGCCCTGATAGCCTACAGGAGGAGGAACAAGGTGTGCAGAGGATAATCCTTTAGAAGGAAGCAGCAGGTTAAGTCACCACCTGCAATGCTGGCATTCCATATGAGCACTGGTTCTAGTCTTGGCTGCTCCACTCCTGATCCAGCTCCCTGCTAATGTGTAGCAGATGTCCCAAGTGTTGCTATGGAGTCAGTCTGAGAGGAGCATGGTGGGGGCAAGAGGCGCAGAATCAAGAGTCAGGTAAAAGTGGACTAGAGGCGAGCAGCTCGCAGACTTGTTCATTTGGTACAGTAGCTTATATAGCCAAGGCAGCCAATCTGGTCAAGGGGCGTTTTGTGCCGCAACCAATCACATGCAGGCTCCGTTGCCAGATGGGTTCTGAAGCCATTCCTGAGTAACTGGAGCTCCCTTGCCAGCGGCCATCTTGGCACAACCTTCTCATTCCTCCACAGCCCAAGTGTTTGGATCCCTGCCACCCTCAGGAGAGACCTGGGTGAACTTCCTGGCTCCAGCCTGGCCCACTTCCAGCAGTTTCAGCCACTAGGGGAATGAATCGGTGGATAGAAGATCTCAATCTCTGTCCCTCCCCTTTAACTATGCCTTTCAAATAAATAAATCCTACCAAAAAGAAGAGGAAGAAGAGCAGCAGCACTAAAAGTACCTGTTTAGTGGGAAATATTCCCAATAAACACATTTTGGACATATCCTTTTTACTGTCTTATTGAACTACTAGGAATTTCCTGCCTCAAGTATTCAGGGATGGGGCTGGTATTGTAGCATAGCAGATCAAGCCACCACCTTAGAGGCCCGCATCCCACATGGGTGCTGGCTCAAGTCCCCACTGTTCCACTTCCCACCCAACTCCCTGCTACCAGCCTGGTAAAAGCAGTGGAAAATGGTGCAGGTGCGTCAGTTCCAGCACCCACATGGGAGACCTGGATGGAGCTCCCGGCTCCTGGATTTGGCTTGGTCCAACCTTGGCTATTGCAGCCATCTGGGGAGTGAACCAGTGGATGTAAGATCTCTCCCACCCACCCCAACCCCTTCTTTAACGCTTTCAAATAAATACTGTTTTTTCTACAAAAAAAAAAAAAAAAAAAAATCCAGGGAGGAGAAGAGTGGAATACCGTAGTCATTTGGGACAAATTAAATCTGGGAGTCCCAAATGTTCACCTGCACCAGACTTGGCTTTCGTAACTCACTGCATAGCCAACTGTGATAGCACCCACTGAAGGAAGTGAAGTGGACTACTCTTCCTAACAGGGTGGATGGCCAGGCCAGGCCAGGCAGTGAGGGGACACTCTGGCCTATGGCCAGAGATCACTAGAACTAGGGATCTGGGGAGACCTTGGAGAAAAGATAAAAGAACACCTGTTTGGGAAAAGAATATGCTCCATTTTCAAACACACAAGACGAGAATTAGAGATATAGATTCCTAGCTAGGGGCTGGCACTGTGGTGCAGGGGGTTAAGGCTCTGGCCAGCAGCTCCAGCCTCCCCTATGGGCCCCAGGTGGAGGCCCGGCTGCTCCACTTCTGATCCAGCTCCCTGATAACGCGCCTGGGAAGGCAGCGGAGGATGACTCAGGTGCTTGGGCCCCTGCACCTGCATGGGAGACTCGGAAGAAACTCTGGTCGTTGTCATCATTTGGGGCGTGAACCAGCAGATCTAAGATTTCTCTCTGTCTCTACCTCTCTCTGTAACTCTGCCTTTCAAATAAACAAAATAATAAACCTTTAGGATTCCTAGCTAGCCAGCTGGCACTAAAGTAATTCACCTTTCTTACCTCTTTAGACGTGTTTTAGGATAAGGGAAGAAAAGAGGCTGTGTAAATAAAACTTAAAAACGTCTCAGTAAAAGGCACCTGGATGGAAGCACTCTGTGAAAATCCCACAAGGTTAAAGGATTAGGAGAGCAATGGACAACACACACACACACACACACACACCCCCCACCCCCCAAGTCCGGAGGGCGGTAACTAAAACGCAGGCCGGTCGGCCCCGCCGCCCTCTGGGCCACCGTGCTCTTCCGCTCCCAGGAGGCCCCGCGGCGGAAGTCGTCACTCCCACAAGGCACCGAGCCGTGCGGCGCGCAGCCTGCAGGAGGCTCACTATGGCGATGAGCAGTGGCGGCGGCGGCGTTTCGGAGCCGGAGGACTCGGTGCTGTTCCGGCGCGGAACGGGCCAGGTGAGCTCGCGGCCGGCGCAGCGTCTCTGCGGGCTCTGAGGCCCGGGCCGCCGGGCGGGACCCACGCAGTCGCTCACCGGAAAGCAGTGGTCCACATGTTTTCTATTTCGTTTCCCACTGCGCTCGCGGAGAGCTCCATTTACAGGCTCCTACCTCGCGCAGCTTGGGCGCCCTGATGGGTTTGAGCTGAGGCCCTGCCGCACCTCTGCAGCACCTCGGTTCGTCCGCTTGGCTCGGACTGGGAGGCGTGCGGGGCCAGGGCCACGTGAAGGAGGGAAAACACGTAGGAGTCTGTAGGAATCGTCCAGTCTTCAGCCGAGCAGTTAACAGTGGAATTCCACCGGGGATTGTGGATTCTGGGCACATTTTGGAATCAGAAGCAACAGGCTTTCTAGATACGTCCGATGAGGGAGGTTAGAGTCAAGGCTAATTCCAGGTGCTGTGCAGAGTATCTGGAAAACTCATGTCCTTTTAGGTGGCCACAGGAAGGAGGCATCCTCAGGAAAAGCCAGGTACCAGGCTGACAAGGCAGGAGTTACTCAGATACAAGGTTGAAGATTGGAAGTTTTGCTAAACCCAAGAGAGTGCGGTTGAAGTTTCAGGAGAAGTGGGTGACGATGGCGGGACAACGTGAGGAGGAACTTGGGACACCTGGGCTGCTCGGGGTGACGAAAATTAGGCGTAAGGGCTGTGCTGGTGGTCTGTTTGGACTGTTGTTGCAGTGTAACAGATGCCCTAAAACTTAGTGATCTGAAGCTGTGATCATTCTATTCTCCGCCCCGATGTCGGCGGTGAGGAGCGAGCAGTTCTAGTTCATCCCCTCCTGTGGTTGCTGGAGCTGCCACAGCTGGCGGCTGAGTTGCTGGGGATTGCAAGGGTGTCTCTTTTCCTTCGTGTAGTCTCAGGGGTTCTGCCTGTGGTCTCCGTGTCTGGGCTGGTTTGCCTGTCTTTATAACGTGATGGACTCGGCCTTTGTAATCCTTGCTTCCCATCCAGAGACCTCCCTCATCCCCAGAAAGGCACTGATCCACTTGCTGTCACCATAGATGAGCCTGCATTTTTCTACACTTTCATGAACATGGAGTCACAGGGTATCTATTTTGTCTGCTACTCTTACTGGGCATAGCTACTTTGTTTTGTATGTATGTGGTTGCTCATTTTTTTTTTTTTTTTAAGATTTATTCATTTATTTTAAAGTCACATTTACAGAGAGAAAGAAGTCTTTGATCCATGGGTTCACTCCCTGGACAACCGCAACGGCCAGAGCTGGGCTGATCCAAAGCCAGATGCCAGTAGCTTCTGGGTCTTCCATGTGGGTGCAGGGGCCTAAGGACTGGGCCATGTTCTGCTTTCCCAGGCCATAGCAGAGAGCTGGATCAGAAGTGGAGCAGCCGGGACTCAAATTGGTGCCCATATGGGATGCCGGCATTGCAGGCAGCAGCTTTACCCACTACGCCACTGCGCTGGCCCAGTTTTATTGTTGAGCGGTATTCTATTGCTTGCATATATTATACTTTGTCCATTTGCTTGTTCATGAACCTTCGGGTTTTTCCAGTTTGGGGCAGTTAGAAATAGAGCTGTTTGGGGTATTAGAGTATGACACTTTATTATGACATGTGCTTTTGTTTTACTTTAGAAAATACTTAGGTCATAGGGTAGAGAGAGACAGAGCTCTTCCATCTGTTGATTCACTCCGCAGATGCCTAAAATAGCTGGTGATGGGCTATGACAAAGCCGGGGGCTCAGAACTCAATCTGAGTGTCTGACAGGAGTGACAGGGATCACCTCCTGACTCCCAGGGTGCACATTAGCAGGAATGCCAGCATCAGGACCAGAGCTGTGAATTGAACCCAGGCATTCTAGTATGGGATGCAGGCATCACAAGCTGTGTGTTAACATCTGCACCAAATTCCTTCTCACCCCAAGTATCTTGTTTCACTTTTATTTTTTTTTTTAAAGATTTATTTATTTATTTGAAAGGCAGAGTTGCAGAGAGAGATATCCTTCATCTGCCTGCTAACTCTCCAAATGGCTGCAGTGGGTGAGCTGAGCTGATCCAGAGCCAGGAGCCAGGAGCCTCTTCCAGTTCTCTTATGCGGGTGCAGGGGCCCAAGCACTTGGGCCATCCTCCACTGCTCTCCCAGGCCACAGCAGAGAGCTGATCGAAAGTGGAGCAGCCAGTTCTTGAATCAGTGCCCATATGGGATGGCAGAACTGCAGGTGGGCGGCTCCACCCACCCAAAGTATTTTAAGTATATAAGAAGTTACCATACTCTTCCTCAAAGCAGGTGTACCATTTTACATTTCAACCAGCAGTGTATAAAAGTTCCATTTGCTTTACATCCTTGAGATCTGCTATGGTCAGTCTTTTTAAGTTTTTTAAGTTTAGAAATTGTAATATGTGACTAATTGTTTCCTTTTGTTTTAAACATTTACTTATTTGGAATGCAGAGCATCAGAAAAAGGAAAGACAGATATCTTCTATCCTCTGGCTCACTCACCAAATGGCAGCAAAATCCACAGCTGGTCCAGGCTGAAGTCAGCAGCTAAAACTCTGTCTGGGTCTCTGACATGAGCGTTTAGACCATCACCCATTGTCTTCCCACACACATTAGAATCCTGGCAGAGAGCTGGATCCAAAGCAGAGGTGCCAGGACTCAAACTAGCAGTCCAATATGGAATTCAGGTGTCCCAAGCAGCCATCTAACCTGTTGGACCACAATTCCTGCACTTAAACTAAACCTAAACTAATCTAGTCACAGAGAGGTTGAAGTGTGGGTTAACTTCAAAAAAACATATCTACTGGCCAGCGCCGCGGTTCACTAAGCTAATCCTCCACCTTGCGGCGCTGGCACACCAGGTTCTAGTCCTGGTCAGGGTGCCAGATTCTGTCCCGGTTGCCCCTCTTCCAGGCCAGCTCTCTGCTGTGGCCCGGGAGTGCAGTGGAGGATGGCCCAAGTGCTTGGGCCCTGCACCCCATGAGAGACCAGGAGAAGTACCTGGCTCCTGCCATCGGATCAGCGCAGTGCGCCGGCCGCGGCAGCCATTGGAGGGTGAACCAACGGAAGGAAGACCTTTCTCTCTGTCTCTCTCTCTCACTGTCCACTCTGCCTGTCAAAAATAAATAAATAAATAAAACATATCTGCTTACAGTTGGTGAATAGGAATTAAATCATGGATTTACTTTGTGACATATCTCTTAGAACATTTATGTATGTTTTTTTTTTTTTTTTTTTTTTTTTTTGACAGGCAGAGTGGACAGTGAGAGAGAGAGACAGAGAGAGAAAGGTCTTCCTTTTGCCGCTGGTTCACCCTCCAATGGCCGCCGCTGCAGCCGGCGCACCGCGCTGATCCTGGCAGGAGCCAGGAGCCAGGTGCTTTTCCTGGTCTCCCATGGGGTGCAGGGCCCAAGCACCTGGGCCATCCTCCACTGCACTCCCTGGCCATAGCAGAGAGCTGGCCTGGAAGAGGGGCAACCGGGACAGAATCCGGCGCCCCAACCGGGACTAGAACCCGGTGTGCCGGCGCCACAAGGTGGAGGATTAGCCTATTGAGCCACGGCGCCGGCCAACATTTATGTATGTTTAGCTTTGGGAGTAAATTCTAAGCAAGCGGACTTCCTGTGGTTTTACTTAGGATCTGTGACACCCATTTTCAGTGTTATTTGGCGATGTCTGGATTAGGATGGCTCTTGATACTATCTAGCATAAGTTTTTGATCAAACACGTGAACATGAATTGTTTTTATTTCTTACCCTTCCCAGAGTGATGATTCTGACATTTGGGATGATACAGCATTGATAAAAGCTTATGACAAAGCTGTAGCGTCATTTAAGGTATGTAATACTGATTCACTCTTTTTCTTACTTCAGGTTATTCACAAGAAAATTTAATAACATACAGCAGAATATTGAAGTTCAAATGTTCAATAATAATATGGGTTAATAGAATCACATGATTTTTTTTTTTAAGGTTTATTTAGTTATTTGACAGAGCAACAGAAAGAGAAGGAGAGATAGAAAGATCTTCTGTGTACTGGTTCACTCCTCAAGTGGCTACAACAGCCAGGTCCAGGCTAGGCTGAATCCAGGAGTCAGGAACTCCATCTGGGTCTCCCACATAGACCACAGGAGCCCAAGCCATGACCCAAGCCATGGCCAATCATCTGCTACTTTCCCAGAACATTAACAGGGAGCTGGATGGGGAGGAATAGTCAGAACTTAAGCTGGCGTTGCACGCCGTGGCTTGGCCCACTTGGTCACAATGCCAGCTCCTAAACAATGTATTCTCTTAGGTGTTGATAGCCTATGTGGAATGCTATTCTTTTTGCAGAGGCAATTTAAATGAAATTTTAAACATTTATCCCTCTTAATGTTTTTATACTGTATTAAACTATAGAGGTCTTTTATACCAAATTAGTAGGAAAAAGTGAATTACAATTTTTAAAAAATATTTATTTATTTATTTGAAAGGCAGAGTGAGAGAGAGATATCTTCCATCCACTGGTTCACTCCCCAAATGGCCACAAAGGCTGGAGCTGAGCTGGTCTGAAGCCAGGAGCCAGGAGCTTCCAGGTCTGCCACATGGCTCCAGGGACCAAGCACTTGGGCTTTTTCAGGTGCATTAACAGAGAACTGGATCGGAAGAGAAAAGGAGCATTCCAGACTTGAACCGGTGCCCAAATGGGATGCCAGTGTCACAGGCAGTGGCTTTATGCACTGCACTACAACGCCAACCCCTGATTTACAGTTTTAAGCTTTTTTAAAAAAATATGTATTTTATTTGAAAGTCAGTGTTACAGAGACAGAGATCTTCCAGCTGCTGGGTCACTCCCCAGGTGGCTGTGACAGCAAGGCCAGATGGAAGCAAGGAGCATCATCCAGGTCTCCCACGTGTGTGACAGGGGTGCAAACACTTGGGCCATCATCTGCTGCTTTTGCCAGGCCATTAGCAGGGAGCTGGATCAGAAGTGGAGCAGCTGAAACAGAAACCGGCGCCCACATGGGATGTTAGCATCGCAAGCAGCAACTTTACCTGCTATGCCACAATGCTAGCCCCTACAGTTTTAAGCATTCAGTAAGCCTTTAGTGAAATCCTCATGATGATGATAAATAGTAGTAGTGTAGTAATAGTATCTGCAGAATGTTGATGCTCAGGCACTGTTCTAAGTACTTTACACATACTCAGTTAATTTACAACTCCCAGTCCTCCACTGGGTACCAAGTCCAGTGTTCCTGATAATAAGAATATGCAGTGCTTCAGGAGCTGTATTCTAGTTCTGTGGCCAGAAAAGTTGTGCAGTGTCACCACTTTGCCACTCTCCGGGGTATTTTGCTTTGTTGAGCACCAGGTGTGGGTGGTTGACCACGCAGGGCAGACACTGATACAGAGCACCAAACGTGAGCACACAGGTCAGTAGTTCTTGTAGCAGGAGGATAGGGTCAGGCTTCAGTGTCACCTGTGCAGCTGAAGTCTCCATTTCTTTTCTTTTTTTTTTTTTTTTTTTTTTTTTGACAGGCAGAGTGGGCAGTGAGAGAGAGAGAGACAGAGAGAAAGGTCTTCCTTTGCCGTTGGTTCACCCTCCAATGGCCGCCGCAGCTGGCGCACGGTGCTGCCGATGGCAGGAGCCAGGTACTTCTCCTGGTCTCCCATGGGGTGCAGGGCCCAAGGACTTGGGCCATCCTCCACTGCACTCCCTGGCCACAGCAGAGAGCTGGCCTGGAAGAGGGGCAACCGGGACAGAATCCGGCGCCCCGACCGGGACTAGAACCCGGTGTGCCGGTGCCACAAGGCAGAGGATTAGCCTAGTGAGCCGCGGCGCCGGCCTGAAGTCTCCATTTCTTTGCTATGCTTTTCATTTTACACTGAAGGTAGAAGTTGGCTGAGGAAGGGTTAACGTAAGAGTTCAATCTAAAATACAGATTGAAATGGGCTTACAAATGGTATTGCAGGGAGAAGTAGTTTGAATAAAGGAGGGAAAAACTGATTTGGGAGCAAGAGTTTTAGTCATGCTGAATATGGTTATGAAGGTGTGAAATTGATCATTGGAAATGTTAGATTGGACTGAGAAGAATCAGAGCTGGTTAGTAGCTTTGGAAGTGTGTTTGCATAGAGATTGTAATTGAAGTAATGGAAGTAGGTGAATTAAGCAGTTAAAGCAAGGGTCGGTCTTGCCGGCAAAGCCTGCGTTCAGGACTTGGCCAGAGAAGTAGGAAAAGCGCTGGGGCCCTGCACTGCTATCAGTGAAGGTGATCAGCGCTCTGAGGTTACACGGAGACTAAAAGCCGGGAGGCCTGATAGCAGGGGCTGCAGAGCCGCTGCTCGATGTATGAGAGCAGTTTCCATAGGGTGGGGTGCTGAAAAGAGGAAGCAGAGGCCTTCTGAGGTGAGGGCACCCTGAGACCCGCTGAGTTACATTGTGGCTTTTTTTTTTTTCTTTTTTTAAATTTTTTGACAGGCAGAGTGCAGAGTTAGAGAGAGAGAGACAGAGAGAAAGGTCTTCCTTTGCCGTTGGTTCACCCTCCAATGGCCGCCGCGGCCGGCGCGCTGCGGCCGGCGCACCGCGCTGATCGATGGCAGGAGCCAGGTACTTCTCCTGGTCTCCCATGGGGTGCAGGGCCCAAGAACTTGGGCCATCCTCCACTGCACTCCCTGGCCACAGCAGAGAGCTGGCCTGGAAGAGGGGCAACCGGGACAGAATCTGGCGCCCTGACCAGGACTAGAACCCGGTGTGCCGGCGCCGCAAGGCGGAGGATTAGCCTAGTGAGCCACGGGGCTGGCCCATTGTGGCTTTTTTAAAATAGCATGGCACTCTAACGTGTACATTTCTGTTCCCTTAATCTCCTTTTCACAGCATGCTCTGAAGAATGGTGACATTTGTGCAACTTCAGATAAACCTAAAGTCACACCTAAAAGAAAACCTGTTAAGAAGAATAAATGCCAAAAGAAGAAGACCACAACTGCCTTAAAACAGGTTTGTTTCTTTTCATTTATTTGAAAGGCAGAAAGAGAAAAATCTTCCATCTGTTGCTTGATTTGGCACTTCCCAAATGCCTGCAGCAGCCAGGGCTGGGCTAGGGCCAGAACTCCATCTGCACTTGATCTTAGCCAAAAGGCTGAGAAGCGATCAGAACTCCATTGTCTCTCTCACAAGGCTGCCAGGAACCAAAGTACCTGAGCCATCACCTGCTGCCTCCCAGTTTGCATATTGCAGGAAGTTAGATCAGAAGCTGAGGTGAGGTGCCAGCATTGTGGTGTAGTAGGTAAACCTGCTGCCTGCAGTGCCATCATCCCATATGGGCACCAGTTCCAGTCCCAGCTGCTCCACTTCCAATCCAGCTCTCTGCTATGGCCTGGGAAAGCAGTAGAAGATGGCCCAAGTCCTTGAGACCCTGCACCTACGTGGGGTATCTGGAAGAAGCTCCTGGCTCCGGCTCCTAGCTTCAGAATGGCGCAGCTGCAGCTGTTGGGGCCATCTGGGGAGTGAACCAACCAATGGAAGACTTTCTGTGTCTGTCTGTCTGTCTGTCTCTCTCTGCTTCTGCCTCTGCTTCTCTCTAACTCTGCCTTTCAAATAAATAAATAAATCTTTAAAAAAAAAAGCAGAGGTAAGACTCAAACTGAGGCACTCCTGTGTTAGACACTGGCTTCCCAGGTGGCATCTTTATTTTTTTTTGGCAGGCAAAGTTAGACAGAGAGAGAGACAGAGAGAAAGGTCTTCCTTCCATTGGTTCACCCCCCAAATGGCCGCTACGGCCAGCACGCTGTGCCCCAATCCGAAGCCAGGAGCCAGGTGCTTCCTCTTGGTCTCCCATGCAGGTGCAGGGCCCAAGCACTTGGGCCATCCTCCAAGTGGCATCTTAACCACTGCTCCAAATGCCTGCCCTGAAACAGGCATTTAAACAAAGAGATTTAACTTTAAAGGATTTCTTTTTACTGTCTTTACCAAGTAGTATAATGTAAAAAAACTTAAATGGTTAGTACATGTATTCATAAAACTATAAAACTTCTTTTTTTAAAAAAAGATTGATTGATTGATTGATTTGAAAGGCAGGGTTACACAGAGAGAGAAGGAGAGGCAGAGAGCGAGAGAGCGAGGTCCTCCATGTGCTGGTTCACTCCCCAATTGGCCACAACAGGCAGAGCTACACTGATCCGGAGCCAGGAGCTTCCTCTGGGTCTCCCTTGTGGGTTCAGGGACCCCAGGACTTGGGCCATCTTCTATTGCTTTCCCAGGCCATAGCAGAGAGCTGGATCAGAAGTAGAGCAGCCGGGACTCAAACCAGCGCCCATATGGGATGCCGGCACTGCAGGTGGAGGCTTTACCTGCTATGCCACAGCACCGGCCCCCATAAAACTTAAAAAAACAACTACTACTCTTACTACTAACCTTTCTGTTCTTTAGGAACATGCATGTTAGTAGTAATAAGGGTAAGGAATTGGGTGGGAATGATAAATCACTAGTCAGCAGTGTTTACCCTGTTTGGCATGGGGATAAGGAAAGATGCTATTTAGGAGAACATAAGGGCATTGTTTTATTAATTTAATTTTAAGATTAATTTTATTTATTTGAAAGTTACAGAGAGAGAGAGAGGCTGGGAAAGGTAGAGAGAGAGCTTCCATCAGCTCCCTAAATGGCTGCAGTGGCCTGTGCTGGGCCAGGCCAGTATCAGGAGTTTCATCCAGGTCTCCCACGTAAGTGGCAGGGACCAGAGGACCTGGACCATTTTGCCCTGCTTTCTCAGGTGCATTGGCAGGAAAGCTGGATTGGAAGTGAAGCAGCCAGGACTCAAACCAGTGCCCAAATGGGATGCTGGCATTGCAGGCGGAAGCTTAACACATTATACCACAGCGCTGGCCCCTTGTTTTATTTCATAAGCTGAGAAATAAATATTTTTCTTTGTCTTTTTCTTCAGAAACCTTAAAACTTATTTTTGGGGGAACCAAAAAGTCTGAGTCGAATCATTTCTGATAGCTGAACAAAGTGTGTTGTAGTAAGCTTCTGCATTTCCCAAAGGTTAAGAGATCTATTGTTTGATGAGCATTTGCTCTGTGTCCGACCCAAGTGCTGGGCTGCTGACACACCCTCTCTCCTGCCTGTCTTCACAACAGGTGTGGGAGATAGGTTATACGGTAGCGTAGTGACTTACAGATGGGGAAAAGAAGACTCAGAGAGATTAAGAATTCCCATTTATGTGGTTTGGGCTTCAAGCCTTTTCACTATTTGATTTTGCCTTCTAAATCAGTTAATTGGTGACTGCCCTTCACCCTCAACCCTCCACACAAACTAGATGGTTGTTTGCCCTCTCTAAAAGAAATATATGTACATTTGTGTCCTTGCTTTCTTTTGTAGTGGAAGGTTGGTGACAAATGTTGTGCCATTTGGTCGGAGGACGGCTGCGTCTACCCAGCTACAATTGCTTCAGTTGATTTTAAGAGAGAAACCTGTGTTGTGGTTTACACTGGATATGGAAACAGAGAAGAGCAAAATCTGTCTGATCTACTTTCCCCAACATCTGAAGTGGCTAATAACATAGAACACAATGCTCAGGAGGTAAGGGTGCAGACAGTCTCACTCCTGGAAGCAGAGGCTGGGTAAGAAATTAAACAGTTGTCAGTTTGAAGGTGTTAACATTTTCCTTAACGATACCTTTATAATAAAAATGCAATTTTCTTTTTAAAGAATGAAAATGAAAGTCAAGTTTCTACAGATGAAAGTGAGAACTCCTCCAGGTCTCCTGGAAGTAAACCAAATAATATCAAGTCAAAAGCTCATCCTTGGAACTCCTTCCTCCCTCCGCCTCCCCCCATGCCAGGATCAGGAATGGGACCTGGAAAGGTAAACTTGCCTCCAAGAAGAGGCTGCTGCTGCTGCTGCTGCTGCTGCTGCTTCTTCTTCTTCTTCTTCTTCTTCTTCTTCTTCTTCAGGAAACAGTGTATGCGGCATTTAACCCTTCCACTAACTGGTTGCTGTCCCATGAAACTTTGTAGCTGTCTTTAGATGTTATGAATACATATTCTTTGAAAAGAAAATAAGTTAGTGACATAAAATAGTTTACGCTGAAAGACTCACCCAAGTACTCTTGTGGAGTATTAGGACTGATAAGTAAGCAAACTTACTTAAATTAGAAAGTATAACAATACTTTATCATTGGTGGAGTGATAGGTGGTCGTTCCCCATGTCACCTGCATATGATGTGTAACAGAAGAATACAGTATGTGTATCACATGGGTAAAGTCCTGAGGTGCTGTCAGATTATTTTCATTTATGGCTCTTTTTGTGACAAGTAAAAGAAATCAAACAGAAAAGATTTTTCTTACAGGCTAGGTTATGTCATGAAATCCGAAGGTATGTCACTATTATGTAAACCAGTGATGTCTGGGAAATCATACCTTGAGGTTATGGTATTCAAATAATAATTTTTAAAAATCAAGCATGAGTCATTATTACTTTTCCTTAAATTTTCTGCATTTGCTATCTTTTTTTTTTTTTTCCTTAAAGATTTATTTATTGAAGAGGCAGAGAGAGCTTCCATCCACAGCTTCACTCCCCAAATGCCTGCAACACCCACGCCCGGGCCAGGCCAGTGCCAGGAACTAGGAACTCCATCTTGGTCTTCCACAAGGGTGGCAGGGGCCCAAGTACTTGGACCATCTTCCACTGCCTTCCCAGTGCATTAGCAGGAAGTTGCATCAGAAGCGGAGTAGCTGGGACTTGAACCAGCACAGCAAGGAGGAGCTTAAGCCACTTCACTTAAGTGCCAACCCCTGTGATTGTTTTTTATTGAAGTTTACGTTGTATGAAAGTTTGTTGAATCTAAAATGATCAAGGGGCAAGTGTTAGATACAGTAGTTAAGATGTCACTTGGGATGCCTGCATCCCATATTGGTGTACTGGGTTTGAACCTTGGCTCCACTCCTGATTTCAGCTCCCTCCTATTGTGTACCCTGGAAGGCAGCAGGTAATGGCCCAAGTACTTGAGTCACTGCCACCCACGTGGGACCCCACATTGATTCCAGGTTCCTGGCTTCAGGCTGGCCCAGTTCTAGCAGGTGTGGGCATTTAGAGAATGAGCTAGCAGAGGGAGAATCACAATCTGTCTCTTTATCTGTTTCCCTGTCTTTCAAATAAAATAATAGGTAAATGAAATTGAAGTGATCAAACCTTTAAAGATATATCATGCGTCATTGATCTCAGGGTGTTGATTTTTGTTAGGTGTGAGTGTATCAGTTTTAAATGTGCTCTAAGTTAACACATTTAATTTAGGGCTCCCATAAAAAGATAATATAACATAAGTAGTCAAAATATAGAGCATATAATCTTTTATGATTAAAATATTTTTGCTAAATCCAATCTCTGATTACTAGTTAATTACAGATCTTTGTTTTTGCTTGCTGCATGTTTACATAGAAAGGAAATGAGAAAATCTAGAGGTTATCTATTTGAGTCTATTTGACTTGAGGACTTGGTATATGAAATTCCATTTACTTTGGTTAATATATATTTATTTACTTCAGAAAGTTCATAGGAAATTGAGTTAAAAGATCTTATTTTGGCACACAGAATTTTCAAACCTATTCATGAAAAGGGATCTTCAAAACATTCATGGAAAATATTATGAAAAAAATGTGGATGGATTTCAAAAAATTTTTTCACCAAAATAAACATCTTTTCACTCATTTTTCCATGAAGTAGAATATAGATATTGTTCTAGGTAATTATTTTTATCCTTTTGGTTTTGAATTGATATTAGTGAATTGTTTTTCTTTTGAAATATTCTTTATAGCCAGGTCTAAAATTCAGTGGGCCGCCACCACCGCCACCGCCACTGCCACCCCTACCACCCCACTTCCTGTCATGCTGGCTGCCCCCATTTCCTTCTGGGCCACCAGTAAGTACAAAGAACTCAGATGAAACTGCTTTCATATGTCATTTGGGTTTGAGCCTAAAACAGAGGAATGGAAAATAGCATCTTAGACCATCCCTGGGTCTTGAATCTTTTTTTTTTGAGAGTTATTTTATTTATTTGAAAGGCAGAAAGAGAGAAGTCATCCATCTGCCCATCCACTCCTCAAATGGCCTCAACAGCCAGGGCTGGGCCAGGCAGAAGTGAGGAGCCAGGAACTCGGAACCTCATCCTGGTCTCCAGTGTGGGTGACAAGGGCCATCTTCCAATGCCTTCTCAGTCTGATTTAGCAGTAAGCTGCATCAGAAGCAGGGCAGCCAGGACTCGAACCGGCACTCCAGTAGCCGGCCCCATGGGCTGAATTCTAATGGGTGAAAATTTGAACTCAGCACTAAAAAATGCTTTGTTTTAAATGCTACTGTGTTACCCAGAACCAGTGCTCTTAGAGCCCCAACTCTGAGCTTTTCACCGCTTGCTTCTTTCCTGGCAGAAGTTGATATCCATTCTATTGGGAGCTAGTTCTTGTTAGAAAGGACTTAATATGTGCTATATATACAGGATTAATGTTTTACCCTTCTGGATATACTTGGATGTTAACTTCTGATCATGCAAAGCGAATCTTTTAGTGGCAGATTTTTAGGTATTGGCAGTAGACAAAAGGATGCCTTTTGGCACTGTGTTGGGGGCAGATGTTCTACCCAAGACCTTGACTTAGCATCTGCCTTGAAATGCATTCTGGTGCCTGTGTTTGTTTTAAGAAAAAGCAAGTGTTTATGCTTGGTCTTTAACTCATAGTTCCATCATGCAGCAGGAAAATAATGTTATCATACCTGAATGTCTAAAAATTTTGTCACCTATTGTCCTTTAATTCCTGTTAATTAATTTAGATGATATTTTGTTGTTTCTGCTTGACTTTCTCCAGATGTTGCCTTTTATTTATGTATTTGAAAGGCAGAGTAACACTGGTTCACTCCTCAAATGGCTGCAACAGCCAGGTCTGGGCCAGGGCAAAGCCAGAATCCAGGAACTCCTCCTTGGTCTCCCACATGAGTAGCAGAGGCCCAAGCACTTAGTTCATCTTCATTGGCTTCCCAGGTGTGTTAGCAGGAAGCTGGATAGAAAGCAGAGTGGCTGGACTTTAGCTGGCCTTCCCATATGGCATGCTGGGATTGTAAGCAGTGGCTTAACCTCTTGTACCACTACACTTGCCCTCTGCATGTTGCCTTTTTTTTTTTTTTTTTAATTAGGAAAATGATGTGTGAAATAGGAAAACATACAATTAACACTTCAGCATTCTCTATATAAAATGAATGTTCAGACTTCACATTTTTGTTTACTTGACTTAAAGTTTATCTTTTTCCATTTCTAGGTAATTCCCCCACCACCTCCCATATGTCCAGATTCTCTTGATGATGCTGATGCCTTGGGAAGTATGTTAATCTCTTGGTACATGAGTGGCTATCATACTGGCTACTACATGGTAAGAGAATACTCTGCAGTTTTTCTGTAGTTATGTGACTTTTGTGATTGTAAAATAACTTTTGTTATGTAGATCCTAAGAGTTGAAAACTGCCTTGAAGTTTAAAAAAATACAACTATCTAAATTTCAAATTACTCTTTTTTTCTAAGTGCAATTGTAATTCATTTAAAAAAATCTTTGCCATTCGATTATTTTGATTTTCCTTTTTTTTTTTTTTAAGATTTATTTATTTGTTTGAAAGGTAGATTAGAAAGGGAGAGATGGAGAGAGATCACCCGTCTGCTTATTCACTCCTCAAGTGGCCGCACCAGCTGGAGCTGGACCAAACCAAAGCCAGGAGGCTGGAGCTTTTCCAGGTTTCCCATGTGGATGCAGGGGCCCAAGCACTTGGGCCATCTTCCACTGCTTTCACAGGCACATTAGCAGAGACCTGGACTGGGAGTGGAGCAGCCAGGTCTGGAACCCGTGCCCTTATGGGATGCCAGTGCTGCAGTCAGGAGCTTAACATGCTATGCCACGGTGCCAGCCCCTAATTTTACATTTCTTTTTAACGAGTTATTTATTTATTTATTTCAAAGACAGTTACAGAGAGGCAGAGGCAGAGAGAGGTCTTCCACCTGCTGGTTCACTCTCCAAATGGCTGCAACAGCCGGAGCAGTGTTGATCCGAAGCTAGGAGCCAGGAACTTCTTCTGGGTCTCCCATGCAGGTGTGGCCCGTGTACTTGGGCAATCTTCTACTGGCTTTCCCATGCCATAGCAGAGAGCTGGATCAGAAGTAGAGCAGCCAGGACTCAAACCGGCACCCATATGGAATGCCAGCTGTGTAGACCGGAGCCTTAGCCTGCTGCGCCACAGCGCCAGCCCCAATTTTATATTTTTTAATTCAGGTGAATTATTTGTCTAAATTATTTTTAAGACTCAGTAGTTTCTCTGCTTGGACTTGAAATAAGAATGCATTATGTGTTTTCATTTTAGTAGGGAATGCTAAAAGAAGGCATAATCTTTTGCAAAATAAATTTTTTTATGTTCTTAGAGAAAGTTCTGGCATAATATCCATCAAACTAGACCTCAGGAACTGAGGATTCAAATTAACATTTTATACATCCCTCTACTGTAGACCTATTATGTTATTTTAGGCGAAATCCTAAAATTATTTGTAAAAGATAGTGATTGTGCCATGATAAAATTGTGATATTATAGGTCTTTGAATTTATAGTTAGTCAATATAGAAGAAAATAAACAACTGAGTTGCAGGTATAATTTTTTAAGTGTATTATGAATGCATTCCCCTATGAATATGCTAATTTAAAGCTACTCTTGACTGTTACATAACTATGGCATATTTATGTATAAAGAACTTTGTCAGGGCCAGCACTTTGGTGCAGCAGGTTAAAGCCCTGGCCTGCAGTGCCATCATCCCATGTGAGCACTGGTTCAAGTCCTGGTTGTTCCACTTATCCAGCTCGCTGCTGATGTGCCTGAGAAGGCAATGGAAGATGGCCCAAGTTCTTGGGCCCGCCCTCCCATGTGTAACTGTGCCTTTCAAATAAATAAATAAATACTTTTTAAAAATTGTGACAAAAGTATTCTTAGGCCATTGTATATTATTTGATAAAAATAAGTTTTAAGTGGACTGTGAATATTGTTGGACTTAGGGAAAGAAAATAAACTTTACAATTACAGTTTAATACTTGTTTACTTTGGACCTACTATTGAAGCAGAAGACTGTTAACTTATTTTCTGATGACATTTGCTAAGTAAAGTTAGTAAAATGTCTTTTGGGAACATGTTTGAGATGTGTATAAAGTGCATATGTAAGGGCTGGTGCCACGGCTCAATAGGCTAATCCTCTGCCTGCGGTGCCGGTACCCTGGGTTCTGTCCCAGTTGCTCCACTTCCAGGCCAGCTCTCTGCTGTGGCCAGGGAGTGCAGTGGAGGATGGCCTAAGTGCTTGGGCCCTGCACCCGCATGGGAGACCAGGAGAAGCACCTGGCTCCTGGCTTCTGATCAGCGCGGTGCGTCAGCTGCAGTGCACCAGCCGCAGCGGCCATTGGTGGGGGTGAACCAAAGGAAGGAAGACCTTTCTCTCTTTCTCTCTCTCTCTCACTGTCCACTCTGCCTGTCAAAAAAAAATAAAAGAAAATAAAGTGCATATGTTGTTCTTTTGACTTCCTTTATTTTTCCTGCAGGGCTTCAAGCAAAGTCAGAAAGAAGGAAGATGCTCACATTTCAATTAAGGAGTAAGTGCATCGTTAGAATGAACCTTTGCTATAAATGCTGTGGTTTGTGGAAAACAGATGTTTTGGTAATTTAAGAAACGGAAATATGAAAAAGTTGAAAAGTTAACGCACAGCAATAGTAAAGATACGTTAATGACAAAACTAGAAAATAAAAGATTGACCTGTACCCCACTAGTATTTTGAACAAATACTTGCTGGTTGGGTGGCTGTTTGGGTGGAAAAACATTTTTATAATGTGTAGATCCTTAGAATCTGAAGACGCCTGGTCACTGGTAGTCACACTGCCAGACTTGCTTTTTGATTTGTAATACAGTGTGCAGTATGCTGTATTACCAATGAAGTGCTCTTGTCAACATGACTGTGCCAGTTTAGTTGATCCTTTAGAACTGATTTCCCGTTTTTAGGCCATCCTGGGGCTAATGCAACAAGTTAAATGACAACATTAAAGAAATGATTGGATAGATCCAGAATGTTGTAGAAAAAAATATGTGTCTGGAAACAAAAATGAAGTAGAAGGGAAACTTGTAGATTAAATGTTAGATAAGAGATGTCATAGCCAAATATAATGTGGAAGCTTGATTGGACTGCTTGGGGAAGAGGCCATTGTAGGGACCAGCAATGTGGCACAGAAGACTAAGCCTCTGCCTGCGGTGCTCACATCCCATGTTTGTGCCAGTTGGAGTCCCGGTTGCTCCACTTCCAATCCCTGTTAATGCTCCTGGGAAAGCAGCAGAGGATGACCCAAATCTTTGGGGCCCTGCACCCACATGGAAGACCAGGAAGAAACTCCTGGCTCCTGGCTTCAGATTGACGCAGCTGCAGCTGTTGAGGCCATTTAGGTAGTGGACTAGTGGTTGTAAGATTGATCTCTCCATATTACTGCCTTTCAATAAATAAGGTTTTTTTTTTTTTTTTTTTTAATAGAAGCCATTGTAAAGACTTGGCAAGGGAGCACTGAGGGAATTTGAGTATGGATTGGGCTTTAAATGACAGTTATTGCTAGGACAAGAACCATGTAGTCTGTAGAAGAATGTCTTAATTTGCACACTGAAGGATTTAGGAGTGAGGTGTGTTAGTGTTTCCAATATATTTTGAAAAGATTTAGCAAAATGTATGTGTGAGTTTATTATGCATTTGTGGCTAAATGTTAATGAATCTAATAGTGTGTATGTGGACGTTCACTATACTATTTTTTCTATTTTATGTATGTTTAAAAGTCCCCAGTAAGCAGGAAGTAGCCAGAGAGATTCATCATTGCCCCCTTTCCTATCATCAAAAGGTTGGGATGATAGCTTTGGGATCCGCAAGTAGGGAAGGCCTGTACTTCCAGGAATGGAGAGTCCCTACCTGTACTTCCAGGGAAGAAAAGTCCTTGTCAAGGGTGCCTAAAGGTCAACCAATGAGGATCAGACCCGCCTCAACCTTTAACCCCCATGCCCTGAATCTATAAAAGGAGCCCTCCCAATCTTTGACGCGACTTACCTGGCCCCCACTCTGTTGGGACTGAGGAACCTCGCCCAGGAGCGGAATCCCAATAAAAGCTTGTGAATTTAAAAAAAAAAAAAAAAGTATATAGGCCGGCGCCGCGGCTCACTAGGCTAATCCTCCGCCTTGTGGCGCCGGCACACCGGGTTCTAGTCCCAGTCGGGGCGCCGGATTCTGTCCCGGTTGCCCCTCTTCCAGGCCAGCTCTCTGCTGTGGCCGGGGAGTGCAGTGGAGGATGGTCCAAGTGCTTGGGCCCTGCACCCCATGGGAGACCAGGAAAAGCACCTGGCTCCTGGCTCCTGCCATTGGATCAGCGCGGTGCGCCGGCCGCAGCGTGCTGGCCGCGGCGGCCATTGGAGGGTGAACCAACGGCAAAGGAAGACCTTTCTCTCTGTCTCTCTCTCTCACTGTCCACTCTGCCTCTCAAAAAATAATAAAAAAAATTTTTAAAAAAAGAGAAAACCACTGTTATTTAAAAAAAAGTATATAATAAAAATACTTAGCTTTTTTAAAAATTAGAAATTAGCAGCCAGTGCTGCAACTCAATAGGCTAATCCTTTGCCTGCGGCGCCGGCACTCCGGGTTCTAGTCCCGGTTGGGGCACCGGATTCTGTCCCCGTTGCCCCTCTTCCAGTCCAGCTCTCTGCTGTGGCCCGGGAGTGCAGTGGAGGATAGCCTAAGTGCTTGGGCCCTGCACCCCATGGGAGACCAGGAGAAGCACCTGGCTCCTGCCAGATTAGTGCAGTGTGCCAGCCGCAGCAGCCATTGGAGGGTGAACCAATGGAAGGAAGACCTTTCTTTCTGTCTCTCTCACTGTCCACTCTGTCAAAAAAAAAAAAAATTAGCTATGTGTTTGTCATTGTATTCCTTTTTTTGCATATTATTTTACACTTTTGGCCCATATTCATATATTTATTTAAATGAATGCCATCAAGCATACTGTGTGTGTGTCCACTTAATGTCATATTTTCTATACCTTTATCTATTCTTCCTGCCAGACTATTTGCCTTTATACTCATTATGTGCCACTATTCCTTTAGTGCAGGAGGTTTCGCTATTCTGGGTAACATTACAGTGAACACCTTTCATACATGAAATAATTTTTGTTTCTGTTCTGTCATAATCTTAGGATAAATTTCTGTATTATGATTTTGTTAAGAGATTGTAGATATTATATTTCTTAGTGGATTATATCAGTGCTTCCATGAAAAGCAAATTTTTTTATTTTTTTGATAAGAGGAAGGAATATATTTCCAGGAGCTGGCATCTTGGGGAAAGAGACATCTCCTTATCTAAAATGTGCTTTTTCCTGAAAAGCAAATTTTTACAAATCCTGTTTTTTCCATTTTCAGAATGGGAGATACACTGACCTGGGAAGAGTTCTGTTATTATTACTATTATTATATAAAGCATCACATTTAAACCTAGAATTATCCACATTTCATTCTTTGGTTAAAGTCAACTTCATTTGATGAAAGTTCTTTACCAGTGCTGGGTTTTACAGCCAAGACTAAAAGAGTGAATAGAAAAATTGGGCAGAGGATGAATGAGTGAGACTCATTCTTTAGGCAGAGAATGCACATGGTCAGAGGCACCAGGGTATAGTACGATCAGAAGTACAAGGCAGCCCGGTGTCATCACCACGTTTCATACTACCCACCTTCTCAGCCACCACCTCCATCCATGTAATACCCCTCTCTGAACTTTCTGGCTTTTCACATTGTTGTCTTCATTGCTTATATATCAGTCTCTCCTTTGTTGTTAGTGGAAAGGGACTACATCTTAATCTTTACTGTGTCTGCAGTATCTGTATCTTTTGAAGTTAAGGATGGGCTTACAACATAGCCTGGAGAGAATGGCAAAGAAGAAAGGAAATGGTAAATGGAAGAGGACTTTCAGAGTTGTTTAAAGATCAATCATTGGGGCCAGCTTTGTGGCATGGCGGGTAAAGTTGCCGCCTGCTATGCCGGCATCCCATATAGGTGCCAATTCAAGTATCAGCTGCTCCGCTTCTGACCCAGCTCTTTGCTAACGGCTGGGAGAAGAAGCAGAAGATGGCCCAAATGCTTGGGCCCTGGCACCAACATGGGAGACCCAGAAGAAGCTCCTGGATTTCACCTGGCCCAGCCCTTGCCATTGCAGCCATCTGGGGCATGAACAAGTGGATGGAAGATCTTTCTTGCTCTGCCCCGCCATCTTTTGCCCCACTCCCTGTAACTCTTTCTAATAATAAATATTTAAAAAGTCAGTCATTTATTCATCATGTAGCGGGTTAGGCATTATTCGCTTTCTTGTTAGTTTTAAGGATTTTTAGTCAACTATGCATTAGGTGAATGGTTTTGAGAATTTAGTTATATAATACTGTTTGACCTAAAGTGAGTTTCAGGTACCATTTAATTTAAATACTGAGTAAGTATTAGTACAGACCAAACCACCAGATTGTATGTCTAGACTAATCCTAGTAATAAAGGCAAAACAGCTAGTTTTCTGGCTTTCATTATAGTGATTGTCCTTGCAGTTACAAGGAATTCCATGGCCTGGGACCAGCACTGTGGTGTAGAAGGTTAAGCCTCTGCCTGCAGTGCCGGTATCCCATATGGGCCCCGGTTCAACTCCCAGCTGCTCCACTTCCAATCCAGCTCCCTGCTAATGGGCCTGGGAAAGCAGCAGAAGATGGTCCCAGTACTTGGGCCCCTGCACCCATATGGGAGACCCAAAATAACCTCTTGGTACTGGTTTCAGGCTGGCCCAGCCCCTTTCAGCCATTTTGGGAGTGAATCAACAGATGGAAGACCTTTCCCTCTCTCTTTTCTCTGTATCTCTGCGTTTCAAATAAATAAATAAATCCTTAAAAAGAAAATTCCATGGTCTGTTTTACAGCCACTGCAGTGCCTATATTCAGAAGACACAGGAAAGGGGGTGTGTTCAGAGAGCCTTCCTTAAGGGATCAGCCAGAGATTACTTTATCTGAGTCTTATTGTAAGTTTAGCTTTTCTTCATGCTTGCTGTTAACAGAAGTAAACTATAGGGTTTTTTGTTTTTAAGAATTATTTTATTTATTTGAAAGACAGCTACAGAGAGAGGTAGAGCCAGAGAGAGAGAGGTCTTCCATTCTGCTGGTTTACTCCTCTATTGACCACAATGGCCAGAGCTGAGCTGAATAAAGCCAGGAGCCAGGAGCTTCTTCCAGGTCTTCCACGTGGGTGCAGGGGCCCGAGGACTTGGGCCATCTTCTACTGCCTTCCCAGGCCACAGCAAAGAACTGGTTTGGAAGAAGAGCGGCTGGGACTTGAACCGGTGCCCATATGGGATGCCAGTGCTGCAGGCTGAGGCTTTAACCTACACCACAGCACTGGCCCCCAAGGGTTTTTGTTTATTTTTAATCAACTTAAGTCTTATGGTTTTTAAAACTCTTGGTGAGTAGAAAAATAATGGATTCAATTAAAAAGTCAAATTCTCCTGCTGCTGTGGAGGTACATATTTTATATACACCAGTCAATCAAGATGAAGATGTC